TACTTGGAAGGTAGAAGTCCACATTTGGATTTTTCTTTAAGATGTTGAAGTCCACATTTCTTTAATGGTGTTCAAATGCCAAACACATTATTCTTTTGCATCCACTAAGGCTGTTGGACAATAATTTTGCATTTGAAGGCTCCATAGTCAAGTTTTAATGTCGTTCAAACTAATGCATCATATTGTCAATTACAAGAAATTAGGTTTAAATGGAAAAAAGAGGTGGATTCTGAATCATAGTGTTTCATTAACTTGAGTTTTCACTGAAGCTTATCAAGTCACATTTCATCGCTTATTTATAATTGTTAAAATAGTTCAATGAAAAACACAAGAATCATTGAATTGTGTGTTTGTTTTCGATTAAAGTTGGATTAATATAGTGCATTCGCGGAGTTTCTATCGTAACAATAGCAACGTTCTAAAATGCGTAATGCATTGCAATGCGTCGAGATCGAGAATCACAAGTTTCGACGTGTCAATACGAAAAATAAGCGCCATAATACTTTTCGTATTTTTAAGGTATTAAATATATTTTTATATAAAAAAATAGATTTTTTATCAAAAAAAAAAAAAAATTAGGCAGCATAATGCGCCGCCTAGGCGGGATTAAGCGCGCCTTGCGCCGCCTTTTACAACAAAAACGCATTTTTTCGCCCATACCCCAAATTCGACGCGTTTTCTCCGCACGTCGCTCCTAAGCGGCGCATTTGAGCGCATTTTAGAACATGGAACAATAGTAAATTTGATGCACAACTGGTTTCATATTGGAAATACAGAATATTAGTTTTTAATATTCTAGCAACATGTTTTGCTTTATGATCCATTTAGCACGACTTTTGAAAAGTCAAAAGAAACTTTTGAGATTCAAAAGCTACCTTTTGATTTATTTGACCAATTTTATGAAAGTGTTTCGATAGCTAGGAGATTTTTTAAAGAAAGCTGGTCCAATGTGATTTTCTGTAAAAATACTTTCGAAATATTAAGAGCATGTTTGGCTAAATTTAAAATCCAATTAAAATTGAAAATATAGCTGTTATTGGGTCTCATTCGTCTAATAAAAGTCAACAATAACGGGTACTTTTTCTATTTTAATCTCTACCGAACATGACCTAAGTGTTTTTAAAAATTAATTTTCAAATATAAATTAAGGTAGCTTATGTCAAAATCTCTTCTACATGAAGCAAAAATAAAGTAACAAACAAAAGCAAGAGTAAAAGTAAAAGTCGCTCGAAATAGACATTGGTGTCATTTGATTGGAGCATGGGAACAATACTTATAATATGCATCACTGTGTTAAATGAGAGATCCATATGCCGTAATATTTTTGGTGCTTGCTATTGATATTTAGAATTTCGTACACCCAAACTTGAAATTACTATCTAAATTTAGGCTTTGTTTAGCTTTAAGCAAATTCTTATTAAAATGACTAGTGGTCTACTTTTACTTAAAAGAATTGTAAGTCCTCACCTGAGTTAAAATTTGAATCAAGTTGAACATGGTTGCATTTGTTAACGTATGGCCGTAGTAAATTTACCTTAGGGTCCGTTTGATTGTAATGATGAAATTTGGGTGGAAAGAAAATGAATTCCAGGAAATTAAATTGCATAGAATTCATTTTACTGGAAATTATCAATTAATTGTGCTTGATTGATATAATATTTCACCTGAAAAATGTTGAAATTTTGGATCTTTTGGTGTTCGTTTGACTTTGTTTTTCATGAAAACTGTACATTAAAGGAAATATTTTTTTTACAATTGACCATTGAATTTATTTTCATGCAAGAATAGAAAATCAGTGAAAAAAACGAATTTCAAGGAAAATAATTGTCTAGAACTTGTTTCCTGAGAATTGTCAATTAATTGTGTTTGATTGGTATAATTTTTCACCTGAAAAATGTTGAAATTTTGAATATTTTGGTGTTCGTTTGACTTTGTTTTTAATGGAAATTGTCCATTAAAGAGAAATTTTTTTTTACAATTGAGGATAAAATTTGCTTCTATTATATCTAAAAAAAAAGCTGAAAAACCATTTCCCACCAAAACTATGGGAAAATGAATTCCTCAAAAATCAAGAATTGTACACGTGTGGGCCAAAATGTGGAAATTCGATTGTCAAGAATTGTTAGCAAATCAAACATGTAATTTGTGTGGAAATGAAATTTCTTTTCCATTTTCCGTGGAAAACCCTCTTAGAGTGAACAATTAGTCATGTATAACTTTACACATAGTTTTTGGATGCCCTGAACATCCAAATGTGTAGATATGAGATGACTTCACAAATTTAGGCTCGAGTCAAAGTCAACATGAACAGATGAAAATGCTATTCATTAGTCATTAGAAATAAGTGATGAATTAATGGATAATCAGTGGCGTAAAAAGATGGCGGGTTTGTTCTTTAGCTCAGGCCCAAATACATTTGTAATATTAAAAAAAAAAGAAATTATACTTTGCTGTCGCCCTAGTAGATAATATTTGTGGATTCATTGAAATGTGCGATCAAAAATGAAATTTAATAATTTATAAATTTTATCAAACGGAGATGCCCTTATTCGGGCTCCATTTTAATGTATTTTTGGAGAAAATGTATTTTGAAACAGTGATTTTTTTAAATAATCTATGGATAAAAAAGAAAGAAAAATTTTGAGTTTATGTGTAACATTATTTTATTGAAAAATGTGATTAAAAAGAGTAGATAAAAAAAATGTATTTTAGTTAAAATGGAGGCCTAACATGGGCCATAATAATTTGTTGAAATAATTTATAATTGACTATGATATTTTCTTTAAATATGATTCTTATGTTTTTCTTTTTCCTCTTTTTTTCAAAAATTTAAATCAAGTTGGATTTTATCTCCAAATTTTTTTAATGCGCCTGGAAGTTCTGGGTAGAGTTCTCAAATAGTAACAAAAAAATTATGAAGCATCATTCATGCTTTGACTGCTTCTTTGTACATAATTGGTTCAAAAGCCATTCAACAACGAGATTCTCAATAATGTTTTCATTGTTGTCAATCATTGTTGTACACGTAACATAGCATGATTCTCTTCTAAAAATAAAGTTATTTGTATAATCTTTATTGACAATTTTATTGATTTTCAATGATCCCAATGTTATTAATTTATAGATGTTACCTTGTACGATATTTTTCATAATTTGAAGCACTGCCTGTATTCTCGATATATCTTCTATATTGTCCAATCGAATTTTTTCCCCTCCCTATATTAAATAGATACTTAAAGCTTGTTTGGCATATAATCTTTCAAGTGAAAAATGATTTTAACGTATGTGTAATTAAATAGTTGATAAATTATAAATCCCATAAAATATATGATTAAAAATAAATTTAAAAAAATATCTGCCAAACAAACTTTTACTAAAATTCTTATTCTTGAGAAGGATCATGTGACGTGGTGAGATTTTTCAAAGTCGTCCATTTAATTGGCAAAATTCAGACGGCTCTCCGCTCAACGATTTTTCTCAGTCGCCCACTTTGAATGAGTCTTTCCATTAATTGTATTCCAAGTTTGATACGTTTGAGTCTGGTTTCGAGAAAGAAAATGGAAAAGCCAAATAATTGGTTGATTGGTGGTTGGAAATACAAGTATGAATGAAACTTTCAAAGTCAACGGTATTGGAAATTTTTTTTTTTCTTCTGACTATTGGCATTGATGTTTCAACAATAAATCTAATTGTCCGTTTGATAGGCAAAGATAGAAGGAATTCCAATTCAATATTAGTTAGAAAATAAAAATTCACCAAACTTATAGGAATTTGTTTTCCATGAAAATAAAGAAAATACAGTTTAAAGTGGTTGTACATTAGTATTCGATTTCCATTTCCACGTAGTAAATCAAATGGCCAAAGTGGAATTCATTTTCCTTGGATGTGACATTTTCCATGAAAAGGTTTGCAATCAAACATGGACTAACTTCCCTTTTGTACCCCAATTTTTAAATTTCATTTCCGATTTGATATTCCAGGAAATCCATAATTATTATCACCTTCTCAATTACATATTTCATCGAGTCAAACCACTCATGGGCTAAGCGATAAAAACAATTTCACCAAGTCTCTATTTGGTGGGGATCAAAATCAAATTCTAGTAAAATTTGATAAAATATGTAGTTGAAAAGTTGTGAATCTCATAAAATGTGTGGTGAAAATTAATTATTAACTTTGACTTAAATTAAAATCTGAATTTTATTTTTACCGAAGGGTTAAAAGTTTTAAACCGTGACCGACGAAAAAAAGTTATTTGATTTAATATTTATACCAGCTCGTGTGTGATAGTTATAAATATTTTCTAAATGACTATGTCGACATCGAAAGAATATGAAATTTTTTACTTCAACTACCAAGCTTTCCTTTCAAACTTCGATAAAAAGAATAAGTTAGCCTACACTTCGTTATCATAATTATATTACGAATTGCATAGGAAAAATCTATGCATTTATCAGTAAATTGGAGTATTGTTCGTAGAATAGGACTTAGAAGTGATGAGCAATCACTTTATCGGCTTCATTGACATAGTCGTATAATTAAAAAGATAGACAAACAAATTGTGCGAGCCTTATCCGTGATTACCATATCTTGTCACGTAACTTTTAGCGATAACAAGATTTTAACTTGTAATTTTATTTATTTGGACATTGAGGAAAGGGTTTTGCTATTTGTCAACTATATTTCGGTATACAACCCCCACACACAATAGAGAGCCCACAATTTTGTGAGGGGGACGGTACATAGCGCAAAACCCTGGACTAAAATCACTGCATTTATTTAATAATTGAAAGGCCATCTAGATTTATATATTCGGCATACTTTGAATAAAGATAATTAAAATCAATTGGTATCTGATCACACTTTCCTCCCTGTTTCAGTTTTCACATTGTAGTCTTGGACCCTTGGCATCACCTTCTTCTCCACTACCCGACATTCTAATCTCTGCTAAATGCCACCACCAAATCAACACAAAATTAACTGAAAAACCCACCTCGGAAATGTCGAAAACTACTACTCCATTCCTCCATTTCTTCACCATTATTTTCTTCTTCACCTTACCCTTTATTCATGGCAATGCACAAAATGTTACAGCTCAAGAACAAACTATTCTTCTTCAACTCAAAGACTACTGGTCCAGTTTAACCAACATCAGTCACTGGATTCCGTCGTCCGACCACTGCACGTGGCCCGAGGTCACGTGCACCGATGGTCGGGTCACAAAGCTCGAGATCATCAATAACACCATCAGTGAAACAATCCCAACATTTATCTGTGACCTGAAAAATCTATCCTACATTGACCTTCACGAGAATTTCATCCCTGGATTCTTTCCTAAATCTCTTTATAACTGTTCTAATCTCAAATATTTAGACCTTCAAGTAAACCAACTCGTTGGAAGAATTCCTGATGACATTAACCGGCTTTCGCCTTGGCTTCAGGTTCTTAACTTGAGTGGGAACAATTTCTCTGGTGATATCCCTGCATCCATTGGGAGCTTCCCGGAACTCAAAAGTCTCCAGCTTTCGACCAACTTGTTCAACGGTTCTATTCCCCCAGAAATTGGCAATCTGTCCAATCTTGAAGAATTAAGTTTGAACGAAAACCCGTTTTTGCCACATGCAATACCATCAAGTTTCACTAAGCTGAAGAAATTGAGAAATCTTTGGATGTATATAACAAATTTGATAGGAGAAATCCCTGAAAGTGTTGGGAATTTGTCAGCTTTAGAATCCCTGGACTTTTCTGAAAATGGTTTAAGTGGCAGCATCCCAAATTCTCTGTTCCTGCTCAAGAACTTGACTTTTGTGTATCTTTACAAAAATAGGCTGTCGGGATCAATTCCTCGGACCGTTGAGGCCTTGAATTTGGAGTTAATCGATCTTTCTGATAACAACTTGACGGGAACAATACCAGATGATTTTGAAAAGCTGACAAAACTTACCGGTTTGGCTTTGTTTTTCAATCAATTATCTGGCGAAGTTCCAGTAGGTATCAGTAGATTGCCATCTCTGATAAATATTGGGCTATTCAGCAATAATCTATCAGGCGAATTGCCACCCGATTTTGGGTTACACTCAACCCTGAATACATTCCAAGTTGCGTCTAACCATTTTGTCGGGTTGTTACCAAAGAATTTGTGTGCTAATAAGGCACTTATAGGTCTTGTTGTGTTCGACAACAATTTGACAGGTGAATTGCCAGAATCGCTAGGGAATTGTGACAGTTTGATAGTTGTTCGGGTTTATGGAAACCGGTTTTCTGGTAATATTCCAGGAGGATTGTGGACATCATTGAACTTAACTACACTGATGATAAGCGATAACTTGTTTACAGGTCAGCTCCCGGATAAAGTAGGGCCTAACTTGTCTCTGCTTGAGATGTATAACAACCGGTTTTCAGGTGAAATTCCAGCTGGGATATCTTCTTGGGAGAACTTGAGGGTGTTTAAGGCAAGTAACAACTTGCTTACTGGTAAAATTCCTAAAGAGTTGACTGTTCTTCCATTGCTGTCAAGTATTTTGCTAGATGGAAATAGACTTTCATCAAGCCTTCCATCGACAATAATCTCGTGGAAATCTTTAAATATATTGAATCTCAGTCGAAACCAATTATCTGGTGAAATTCCTGCAGCAATCGGGCTTTTACCTGAACTTCTGTATTTGGATTTGTCAGCAAACAACTTTTCTGGTCCGATCCCACCTGAAATTGGCAGTTTGAGGCTATCTTCACTCAATCTCTCTTCAAATCAGCTCTCTGGGAGAATCCCGGGTGAATTTGAAAATGCAGTTTTCGATTTTCGGAATAATCCAAGACTGTGCGCAAGTAATCCAGCATTAGGGCTCAGCAGTTGTCAGGCTTCACCTGCCAGAAAATCGAACAAACTTCCATCCCACTTAATTGCTACAGTCTCAAGTATTTTAGCAGTTGCATTTTTAGTTGTTCTCTTATACACAATCTTAGTTGTTAGAACTAACAGGAGGAGGAAGCACGATTTGGAGTCGACTTGGAAAATGACTTCATTCCATAGATTGAGTTTCACAGAATCAACCATTTCATCTGGTTTAATAGAGAACAACATAATTGGAAGAGGAGGGTCAGGAACAGTTTTCCGGATTCCCATAAATCGTTCCGGTGCATATGTTGCTGTTAAGAGGATTTGGAACAACGTGAAGTTGGATCTGAAACTCGAAAAGGAATTTCTATCGGAAGTTCAAATTCTTGGCACCATAAGGCACTCCAAGATAGTGAAACTTCTTTGTTGCATTTCAAGTCATAATTCGAAGCTGCTCGTATATGAGTACATGGAAAATCGTAGTCTCGACAGATGGCTTCGTGGCAAGAATCGACCATCCACAATCTCGGGTTCAGTTCATCATGTGGTTTTAGACTGGCCTAAGAGGCTGCAAATTGCAATTGATTCTGCTCAAGGGCTCTCCTATATGCATCACGATTGTTCACCATCCATTATCCATCGTGATGTAAAATCTAGCAATATCTTGTTGGATTCTGAGTTCAATGCAAAGATTGCAGATTTTGGCCTAGCAAGAATGTTGATCAAGAATGGAGAACCTGACACGATGTCCACCGTGGCAGGCTCGTTTGGTTATATAGCTCCAGGTATGCGACATACTCTGGATTCTTGTCAAATAATGTACGATCTCCACAATTTTATTTACATTACTTTAAATTTTCAGAGTATGCACAAACAAGGAGAGTGAATGAGAAGGTTGATGTATATAGCTTTGGAGTCATCCTTTTGGAACTAGTCACCGGAAGGGAAGCTCGTGATGGAGACGAGAGCTCGTCTCTGGCAGAATGGGCATGGCGTCACATTCAGGAAGGTAAACATGTAGTCGATGCCATGGATGAGGATATTAAGGAACCACAATATTTGGATGAAATAAGCAGTGTATTCAAACTCGGGATTATCTGCACTAGCAAACTTCCATCGAGTAGGCCTACTATGAAGGAGGTTTTGCAAATCTTGCTCCGATATCGCCATTCGTCGTTGCACGGAGGAGAAAAGATGATAAGAAACGAGTACGATGTTGCTCCTCTACTTCAGAACTTGAAGCCCGAGAGGAAACTCGAACTCAACGACAGTGTTTAACAACAGTCGTGGGATGAATGCTGATAGTGACTGTTCTTCCACATCATCGGATTTCCTTCGAGCTGCAGGCCATTAGATCTTGAAGTAACTAGGAAAGGCAATGCGATTAGCTTAGCTTATATTTCTGTTCACAAATCCCAGTTACAGGGATTTATAGATATTATACAAAGAAGTATATAATGAATAAAAAAAAAGGCAATTTCTTGTATGAATGGAATCTTTAAAGCTCATAAACCATAACATGTTTGCAGATTTTATTTAGGACCAACCTTCAACTTCTAATGCTATCTCCAATGGTTTTGCCTTGTGGAATCCGGCATTTTGCCCCAAATTTCAAAGAAACCCCCGGAGTTACTCACTTGTGTGGGATAATAGTTTGTGTTATTTCCAATTCTTGGAGGAGTTTGCATTTCATATCATTTGAAGGATCTCAAGATTGTTGAATAATCATTTTGAAAAAAATAATCATATTGAAATAAACTATCCACTTGAAATTGTAACTTACCTTGATAAATTTTCAAATAAGCTAAAAGAAGTTTGGAAGGAAAATCTGCACAGCATTGCATTCAAAACTTTTCCTCAATTTCTCTGCTTCGAATTTGTTTAAATGGGAAGTGTAACGATGAAATTCAAATTTATCAGCTACTTTAAATCAACAAAACCAAAAATAAAATGCACAAACCAACAGAAATAACAAGTAAAGAATACGAGATTTTCGCCCTAAGGCAAGAGGTTCAGAACCAGAGTTCCTAATCCCCTTTTGAGTTTCCCCCAATTGGAAGAAATCACTATATTAACCAGAACCAATAAACTGTTCAAAATACACCAGTCACTCAGACGAAATCACCTGATAAGTACGTTTTTACATACTTATTTTACTATCAAAATATGAGCAATTGTTGATTAATATGTTTGAATATAGCTTAATTATATATAATTCATGTTTTGTAGGACAAAGTGATGAATGCATTGAAATTGAGAAGAAACAAGTGAAAAATGGCCAAATTGGGGAAAGTGAAAGTTCAGGGACTAAAGAACAAATACTATATACCTATTTCCAACCTTGTGAGGAAGATTTGAGAGCGTTAGAGATTAATTGGAAGAAGAAATGAGTCAAAGTGATGAAATATAGCCAAAACATGATCACAAATCAACTTTCAAGTTGAAAAGTTTTGCACCGATTTTTAGCCTCATATTAAGACCAATTTTTGACATACAAAACGATCGAATTTGATGATGGTCTCTAATGAAAAGTTATAGTCCTTTGAGTTAGCTTTCCAACGCAACTTGAATTAGTTCAATCGGGCATCATGAGAGAAACTTATGGCCTAAACACGCGGCAAGGCGCGCACCCTCGCTTGTAGGAATGACGCGCACCTCACACCAAGAAAAGCTCGATTGAGGCTGCCCAATTCCTTAAGGCGCGCACCCAAGCTTACGCTAGGTGCGTGCCTCAAGCCAAAACGTGAAATTTTTCAAGTTTCCTTATTTGATTGAAACACGTATGGAAACCTAATTCTTCACCATATTTAAGCCCCAAAACATTCCAGAACACGGACGGGGGGATCTCCTATCAGTTTTCTCTCAAGAACTCCATGGAAGGCTAAAAATCTTGGTGAAGCAAAGGAGGAACTCAATCGGATTTGGTGATTTTAACACTTTTCATTCATTCTTGTGAGTTTTTCATGTTGTAAACAATTCAAGATTTAGATTTCCCATTCTTGTGGATTTATTCTGAAATTGGTTTAATAATTATGAGATTGTTCATCGATTTAATCATGTTTCTTCCATTGTTGATTGAATTACTTATTGAATTTCAATTTCAGTAATTTATTGGTATGATTATTTACTGTTTTATGGTATATGTATAGGGTCGATTTGTAATCTGATTTCAATAAATAGTTGTGGAAAATTGTTAAAGGAAATCTAATTCTTAGGATTACTTTTGAAATTAATTAGTTTGAACGATAAATTTTGCGATTAGAGCGTCGGGATGAAAGTATCTAATTATGCTATAAAAATGAATGATTGATGTTAAATGATCCGATCCGAATGAGGGAATTCCGATACTTCACTACCTTACTTCATTGATTTTAATTCCATTATTTCAAGCATTGATCTTAGTTTCCCTACATTGAGATTTTCTATACATTTTGAGAGAACGATAAACTTTTCGGAACCTTTGACAATTTTTCCATCTCTCAGTGGATCCAACACTCCAAAACTACGCTACAACACCGTGTAAATATTCAGGCGAAATCAAATTTTAGTGCCGTTGCCGAGGAGACGGTACAGAAGTCAAGAAATTCAATCATAAAAGAGTGATCTTGTTCCTTTTCTAATTTATTTTTACTACAGTTAATTAATTTCTTTATTATCCTCGATTTTATTTTTGTTTACTTGTTTCATGAGCAGGTATCAGGGCGATCGAGGAAGAGCAGCTGACAGACCGGATATAGAGTTTGAATATCTTTTTAACCCCGCTTTTGATTCTGTATCTGTTAAAACTGACACCATATCACATAACACAATGTCGGACAGTGAGCATGATGTACCATATAGTTTTGGATGATTACCTGCATCCCACACGTACATCTACACCTTCATGTATTATGTTTCCACCCAATATGTCACGTGTAGATTTTAAACCTGGAATGATTCAACTTCTTCCAAATTTCCATTGACTTGAAAATGAGAACCCGTATGTGTATGTTAGGGAATTCGAGGAGGTTGTAGCAACCTTTCACAATCAACATGGTACGATGGATGCAATTTGTCTTAAATTCTTCCCATTTTCTCTTAAAGAAATGGCAAAAAGTTGGTTGTATTCATTGAGACCACGTTCGATTGGAACATGGGCTGAGATGACCTAAGCATTTTTTGGCAAATACTTTCCCCACCACAAAACTATTGCGTTGAAAAAGCAAATCTCTTCTTTTATCCAAAAGGAGATTGGAACTTTATATCAAGTGTGGGAAAGGTATAAAAAACTCCAAACTCTTTGTCCCCACCATGGTTATGAGAGTTGGCGTATCGTGAGCTATTTCTATAAAGGGTTAACACCTAGGGAGCGTCAGTTTGTTGAAATGATGTGTGATGACGATTTTCTACAAAAAGATCTAGATGAGGCTAGGATACTTAGACGACTTAGCTGAAAAAGCCCACACCTGGACTGGCCCTAGTGCTACTGATTATACCAACAGGTCACGAGCCCTAGAAAATCCTTCTAGTGCAGGCATCTATCATTTTAGGGAAGAGGATAATCTTAGAGCTAAAGTAGAGATCTTGACTAGAGAAATTGAAAACCTACGTACTAAGAGTTCAAAGCCTATATCCACTGTTGCTAGTGTTGAGTCTTTTGGACCTTGTGGTATGTGTGGTGGAATTGATCATCTGGCGCAAGAGTGATCTACTTTAGCTGAGATGATGGGGGGTTTATGAGGAATACTGTAATGCTTTAGGTATGTACAAAAAGCTTTATGCCATATTTTCTGAGACCTATAATCAGGGGTGGCGGAATCATCCTGATTTCAGCTGGAAATCTGATAACCCGCAACCTGCTCAGGCATCTAGAGCTTTCAATACACCATCATACCAACTATCAACTTCTAGGAACTCCTTAGAGGATAGCTAACATGCTTTTATGGAGGCTCAAGGGAAAACTAATCAGAAATTTGAAACCATGATTAATCAAGTTGTTGAGGAGAGTAAGGAAATGAAAAGCCATATAACTAAATTAACTAATACTTTAGAAATAGGGCAACGTGAAAAATTTCTAACTCAACCTCAACCTAACTGTAAGGGACAACATATGGCTCAAACTTCAGGTGTAGAAGAGAACAACCTTAAGGAGATAAATATTATCAGCACTCAATCTAGGAAGGTTGTAGAACCAATCATTAAGCCTAGGGAAGCGGAGGAAAATAAGAAAAACTCTAGTAATTCTGAAGAGAGTTAGCCTAGTGATAAGGTGGTGAAAAACCTAGCTAGAGCACTCTTTCCTCAAGCTCTTAATCCCAGTGTGAAAGCTAATAGCCAACATGATGAGATCCTAGAGCACCTTAGGCAAGTAAAAATGAACCTACATCTCTTGCATGTGATTTCTCGAATTCCTACATATGCTAAAGTCCTTAAAGACTTGTGTACTATGAAAAGGAAGCATCATGTCAAGAAAACTATCTTCTTGACCGAGCAATTGAGTGTAGTGATTGAACAAAGAGTTCCACCAAAATATAAGGATCCTTGTTGTCCTACAATTTCTAGTATCATTGGGAGTTGTGAGTTTGCTCAAGCCCTTCTTGACTTAGGAGCTAGTGTTAACCTCATGCCTTATGCCATTTATCTACTGCTAGGCCTAGGTGAGATAAAACCTACATCCGTAGTTTTACAATTAGCTGATCTTTCTACTATAAGATCTAGATGAGTAGTTGAGGATGTTTTGGTGCAAATAGACAAATTTTACTATCTTGTTGACTTCTTAGTTCTAGATTTGAAAGTTGATGTGAATGTGAACTCCAAAATACCTATTATTCTTGGTAGACCCTTTCTTGCTACTGTTCATGCTCTTATAAATTGCAAGAATGGCTTAATGAAGTTATCTTTTGGAAATATGACTCTAGAAGTCAATATTTTTCACATCACTAAGTAGCCCATAGAAGATGATGAGTGTCATCAAACGTACATGGTTGATACACTTATTCAGGAGGATGCACCTGCAACCATTGACTTCAACCCCTTAAACTAATTTCTTATAAATTCTAAAATTCCTGCACATTGCTATAATGAAGACTATTCTAATATTTATGCTATTTTTGCTAAATCTCAGGATTATGGGGCATCACCATGGCAACCAAAGTTTGAAGAACTACCAGCGAGAACTGGAGGGTAGCAACATCAAGTATTGAGAGTCCAAATCGGAACTGAAACCACTACTTCTAGGACTGAAACATGTGTTTCTTGGACCAGGTGACACTTTTCCTGTAATTATTTCTTTAGAATTA